GATAGGAGAGGCTGTGCCACTGGGCCCTACAGGACCATAAACATGGCTTAATAGACACTGCCAAAATGAGGAGACAAGAAACATAGCCCAAATGAAAGAACAGATCAAAACTCCAGAGAAAGAAATAAACAAAATGGAGACAAGCCATCTATCAGATGCAGAGTTTGAAACACCGGTTATAAGGATGCTCAAGGAACTTAGTGAGGACCTCAGCAATACAAAAAAGACCCAGTCAGAAATGAAGCGCACAGTAATTGAAATAAAGAACAATTTACAGGAAAAAACCCAATAAAGTAAATGAGGCTGAGAATCAAATCAATGATCTGGAACATAAGGAAGCCAAAAACAACCAATCAGAACAAGAAGAAAAATGAATCCAAAGATACAAGGATAGTATAAGCAGCCTCTGGGACAACGTCAAGCATTCCAACATTCATATCATGGGGGTACCAGAAGGGAAAGAGAAAGAGCAAGAAATGGGAAATCTGTCTGAAAAAATAATGAAAGAAAACTTCCCTAATTTGGTGAAGGAAATAGACATGCAAGTCCAGGAAGCACAGAGAGTCCCAAACAAGATGGATGCAAAGAGGCCACTCCAAGACACGTCCCAGTTAAAATGCTAAAGGTTAAAGAAAAGAAGAACAGAGAGAGCGTTATGGATGCGAAGAGCATCTGGACGGCTGTCAGACGGGAGGGGCCCTGGGGGTGGGTGAAGAGGTGAGGGGTCAAGAAGTACATAGTTATAGAACATTTAACATTCTGTATTAAATACTATAGTTATAGAATAGCTATAGTCACAGCTGTAACAGTAACAGCTGTAGTCACAGAACAGCCATGGGGAAGTACGGTACAGTGTAGGAAATGGAGGAGCCAAAGGACTTACACACATGACCCGTGGACATGAACAAGGGAGGGGGCTCGTCTGAGGGAGTGGGGGGTGCTGGGTGGAGGAGGAGAGGTAAGAAAAAACTAGGATAACTGTAATAGCATAATCAATAAAATATAATTAAAAGTTTAAAAAGTTTATAAAATTAAAGAAACAGGTGAAGGCGATCAAAAGGTAAGAAGAAAAAATATATACTACTCTCTTCTAAACTACAGTATACAGATGTAACATTTAGAATGTATATTTCCCACAATAATTATCAGAACAGCTATCTGGAGTTTATATATTCAAATTTTTAATCGTGGTACATAATACAATAAAAGGTGTCTACATTAAGAAAAGATCAGGACTCTGGAGTTGGAGGGCAGGGGCCTGCCACCTGCCTGGGGGACCCTGGGCGAGCCATCACGCTCATCTGGCAAACGGGGGCACCTGCACAGTCATCCTTGGGGGGCAGAGGCCTGGGCCTGGCCCAGGTCGCCGTCTCGGTGTCGGCTGACGTTGGAACAGATACTGCCACACCCATTGCTGCTCCCCAAACACACGTTTGAATTCTGAAAATGTGAACTAAAATGTGGGAGGTGCAAAAGCTGGTGACATGACTAACACTGGGTAAGCGCCCCAGAAAAAGAGAAGACAGACAGACGGCAAAGTACAGAACTCACTTTCCATTCCAGGGTGTGGCCGGTGCATGTTTCAGGAACTTTTTTGAAGACATATGCTTTGCAACATATAATAGTAGCTATGTTTCTGAGAGTACAGTTAAAAGTTGGTGCAACAGATTTTGATTCCAGAATAAGAGCTGGTGGATTTATCACTGGGCTGCACTCTCATACGTAGATACAAAAATCAAACTAGTAGCTTCAATTGAGATACACAATATTTAAATAGCCTAACAAATTAAGTCACTTACAGTTCTGTAGAAACATATACAGGGACTGGCAAAAATAATGCCCCTTTTTATTACAAAATATTTTATTACAAAACCATAAGCATGTAATTCTGTAACATAACAATATCACAATGAAGCACACCACATGACATTTTAGGTGAAATGTTCAAACTAAAACTATAAATTATTACGCCCATATTATTACCCCACCAGCCACACTCAAGCAGGCAATCCTTACTTCTGCCAGACCCTGTGTGTGTGTGTACGTGTGTGTAAAAGTTTTCTAAAACGTTTTGTTTTAGAAAAAAAGTTTAAAAGCAATTTCAGAACTTATTTCAGAACCTATTTAACATAAAAGTCAATATGAATGCCTCATTTTCAAGAAAAAATAATAGCTATCGCATCTGTGATCCACCTATCCTTAGAATCGATTTTTACGAGTGCTGAAATGTTTTAGAATACATAGTCTTTGCTTAAGATACTAAGGTAAAATTAGTTGGGTGGTGGTGGTGGTGGCAGAATATTTTATAGGACCAAATAACAAACAAACAAAAAAGCGAATTAAATAACATGAAATTTGTTGAATTTCACCTTCAAACATTTAGTAAACTTCCTTAATGTAGAATTCTTATATTAAAACGGTGACTACTCTTCCTCAATATTTTTGTATTTACTACTAATTTACATTCAAATGTTTTCCAAAGAGGATATGAGGCATCAATTAACATTTTACGTGGCAACTCAAAGGCCAATAAAAAATTGGAGATCCACATTTCTTTTTTTAAAAAATGAGTCCGTGGGCAACAGATACACAAACCTGCCTCCCACACACTTCATCCCCCTGAAGACTCACTGGGCTCAAGACGGACGTCGGCTGCTGCCAACACCCCGCACAGGACAGCGCCCCCATCTAGGAGGGGCCCTGACCCGGAGGGGGCCTCATCCAGATCCAACTATGACTTTTGGGGAAATACAGAGAAACGCATCAAATTACATTGCAGAGATGCAATCAATAAAACCCAACTATGGAAATGCTATAGAATAACCCAATCACTTCCACAAATAAAACTACAAGGAAAACAAAAAAAAGAACTAGAAGGGGGAATCTACAGGTTAAAAGGCACTTAAAAGACCTATCAACCAATCATAATGTATTGACCTTAGCTGGACCCTGATTCCAATAAACAAACTATTAAAGAAATGATAAAATGTATGGGACAATGGGAAATTTGAATATTGACTGGTAACTTGGTTCTATTAAGAAATTATTGCTTTTCCAAGTTTAAAATGACCTATTTAGAATTTACTTGAAAATATTATGAGGAGGTGAGGAAAGGTTTAAGTAGCTGAAGTTAGGGATGATACAAGGTTGACTATGAGTTGATAATTGTTGAAGGTGGATACTACTAGGTTTTGTTTTATATATATATTTGAAAGTCCTCATAATATACAGTTGAACTAAAGACTGATATTGAAATTAGTTCGCACAATCACAAAACGCCAAGCACAAATGTAATTATTCTAAAAAAAAAAGGTAAAAATGTCACCTTCTTAACTAGGAGTAAATTATCACTACGTATTTAGACCAAAAATAGCCGCCCTACTGCTGAAACACTAGTGTTAAGAAAAAAAGTTTTACCTTAAGCATCATGAAAACAACTGCTTTACTCACTATCACTTGCTTCACCTGAAACTTTTTTTATCTAGAAAATTAAGTTTATTTTAAATATACAAACTGAAAGATATCCTTTAACATTATTTAGGGGGGACAAATAAACACATTTTAATCTGTCAAAAAAGAAAAAAAGAAAAAAATCAAAGCTCTCCAGAGAAAACTATGCCAAAATAGGATTATTTTTTAACCCTGAAGGATTCCTGCGAAGGAAACAAACATTAAAAAAAACAAACAGGTTAAATGAAGGAAAACATTATCTAGATCAGATATTGTTCTTCCAGAACAAATTTAAAGCCCAAAGAATATCAGAGCTGACCGACGCAGGAAGGTGTGCTGATCTGGGGAGGCCTGGATTCAAGTTCCGCCTCCCAGCTGCCTGCTCTGAACCGGGCTACCGAGACTCTGGGAACCGTCCCTTCCTGCTCTGTAGAGACGGGTTTCAGAGTGGCCACTCACAGGGCTCCAGTGACAATTAAATGACAGTTCCTGGAAAAACTCGCTCCCCTGGCCTCAAGCTACCTTTCCCGCTCACTGTACCTCTTCCCTCCTGGGTTGCCTTCCCTGGAGATCCACAATCCTGCAACCAAGCTGAATCACCTCTATATTTTGCTTGGCTCACAGTACTTAAAACATTTTTTTAATTAGCTACTGCCAACATTTAAAAATCCAGAGAGTGGACTTAACAAATGTGGAGTTCAGACTTCTTTTTAAAATTTTTTTATAATTTATTTTCTTATTTATTGATTTTAGAGAGGAAGGGAGAAAGAGAGAAACTTCGATACGTTATTCCATTTACTGATGAACTCATCGGTTGCTCCTTGTATGTGTCCTGAGCAGGGATCAAACCCTCAACCTTGGCCTACTGGGATGAGGCTCTAACCAGCTGAGCTACCCAGCCAGGGCAGACTTCTTTTTACACATTGCTAGGGGACACTGGTTCCGCAGGGTTCCCACCCGTCTCTCTCACGCCTGGCCCTACAGGTTGACTCCCGCCCCACGCTGGCGAAGGTCCTTCCTTTATCTGGCCCTTTCCCACTTTCGTGCCTCTCCCTCCCTGGCAAATTTCTCATCACCCCTCAAGGGCCAACGCCAGCATCCACTGCCATCTCCGCACGTCCATGCAAAGCCCCTCCCCAGCAGCGCGCACCACGCGGCCCTGGCACTGCGTGTGCACGTCTGCCTTCTCTAAGGCCGATTCTCAGGCTCTCTGGAGGAAGGGACCCTGTGGCTACTGTATTTCTGTCCCCAAGGCTGAGCAGAAAGCCTGACCTAAATAATGTAGAATTCAGTAAACGTCTCCTGAATGCGCGGAAGGAAATTTAGAGCGAACCATTATAAAAATGCAAGATTTTTTTTATATCACAGCTTGTTCTGAGTGTTACCAAATAAAGGGGTCAAGGACATTAAAACGTTTCACAAAACGAGAACAAGCATCCATCTGCTTCCATGTTTCACAAATGGGACGTCACTAACGAGCAGATGAAGCAGAGACAACAGGATGCAGGCTCATTCATTCACCTTCCGACCCGACACTCCCGAGCACTTACCGTGCGCTTCTAAGCACTGGGGATGGAGCAGTGTGGACAAACCAGACAACCTGTTTTCCTCCAGCTACATCCTAGTACGGGAGACAGAGATAAATAGGCAAATAAAGAGTATCAGAATGAATGCTAGGAAAAACAAACAAAATAACGATCGAACGACTAAGGGATGCAAGAGGGTGGTCGAGGAAGGCCTCGTGTTAAATGAGACACGTGACCAGACGGAAGAACCAGAAGCGGACACCTGTGCGCAGAACCCGGCGGCAACTCCAAGCTCTGAAAACAGCAAGTGCAAAGGTCCAAAGGTAAACAAACAAGGCTGCGTGTTCCAGGCAGGTAAGAGGACGTTGGGACAGGGATGCGGAGCCCCGGCTGCGGGAACGGAGGGGAGGTGGTCAGGACCCACTCTGGACACTGGCTGAGCAATGACAAGGCACGGGAAGAGCGCGAAGACGGGGGACCCTGGGCGGGTGCGCGGGGCGCTTCTGCCACACTCACGCCAGCAGGAGGCAGTCTCCCTCTCAGTCTCCCGCAGCTGGGCACAGGCTCCTGCTCAGGCGCCTTACCACACAGTCGTACAACCTGACCACAATCCTGTCCAAAAGGGCAGGAATTTCCCCCAATTTCCCGAGTGGAAAACCGAGGAACAGCGAGGGTCAGTGCCACGGCCAAGGTCGCGGGAACCAGACCCGGAGTCCTGAGCATCCCAGCGTGGGGTGCCGCTGCGTGCACGCAATCCGGAGGCTTGGCGCCCGCAGAACCCCAGCAGGTCCGCGCGGCCAGGCCAGGCCAGGCCCGGCAAAGAGCGGGCCCGCGGCCCGGGGCTGCTGACCGCCGGCGGGCGGGGGCGCCTGCGGCAGCCCGGAGGGCAGGGGCGTCAGCCGGGCCGCCCGCGCCAGCGGAGCCGCGCCGCAGAGCCTGGTCCTGCGGCGCGTCACCCCTAGCACCCCGGCCGCGCGGCCCTCCCACCACCCCTCCCCGGCGGGGCGGGGCGCTGTCCGAGCAGCCCCCGCCGGGCCTAGTTCGCCGCCGGACTCACCTCGCCTCCTGCCGCAGCACCACAGGAAAGGGAGGGCGGGCGGACTGGCGGCGCTGGCGCTGGCGGCTCCTGCCCGGGCTCGGCCAGCCGCCCCGCCCCGCCGCGCCGCCGCCGCCGCCGCAATGGGTGTGAGGGGCGCCGGGGCGCTTCGACCCTTCCGGTCCGGCTCCCTTCGCCGCCGCCGCCGCCGCCGCCGCCGCGGTTCCCAGCCTGAGCGATCCAAACGCCGGCCAATCAGCGCGCAGGGATCCAGACCGGTGTGGCCAGTAGCACCGCGGGGCGGGCCGCTACGGGGCAGCGGGCGGAGCCGGGGGCTTGGTGCGAATTGGGAGGCCGCGGGCACGGCCCGGAGCGCCCTCTGAATCAGCGGCCCCCCACGGGTTCCGCGGCGCGGCGGCCGGACCTGGAGCGGGCGGAGGGGAGGATCGGCGGGACGAAGAGCCGGGCCTCGAGGCTGCAGGTGCAAACTGGCAGCAGCGAGACCGCCTGGACGGGGACGGAGCCGGCCCGTTACGAAGAGAGCCCAGAGTCTTGGCGCCCGGGATCCCGGCTTGTGCTGGTCCCCGGGAAGCGGAGACGGGGCGGCGGAGTGGGGAGCAGAGGTGGGGCCTGGGACTCCGCTGCTCGCTGAGAACGGGCTTGTAGGGGTGCGGCCAGAAGTCGGGGACGGGGAGGGGTTGCCAAGAAGATGGCCTAGTGCGGACGAATGTCCCCTGTTGGTCAGTCGCAGAGGGGAGGAGTCGACAGGCTGGTGCGCTGGGACAGGGTCATAACTGGGGGGAAGGGAGAGGAGTGTCTAGAGTCTGGGGTCAGTTGATACTGCCCTTTTGATGCACCTCCCGCAGCCCTCCGGCCCCTGGGTCGGGTTCCAGCAGGTTGTATGAAATTGGGGAGAGGCCAGGGTGCTGGGTGTTGCTGTATCGTTTGGATTATCAACGATGGAAAAGAGGCTAGGAGGCTAAACTCATGGCCGGCAGACGGCGGGGCGGGGAGTAGAGAGGTCCTTGAATGGGGTGGGAGGAATGTGGGGAAGGAGCAGCTGTTAGGATACCCGGGCCTACAGGCTGGCCAGGGTGGGGCCAAAAATGGGGGAAAGGAGCAGGACCTTGCGTACAGGGAGGTCGGGGGCAGGAGAGAATGGAAAGTGGTGGCAGATATTGGGGAGGGCAGCAAGCCTGTGACTCAGAGCCAGACTGCGGGGCCCCAGAGCTTCAGAGGAGGGGCAGGATGGAGGAGGGATCCAGCGTGCTGTCCCTCTTAGACGACCCGCCACCGTGGCCACCAGAGGGAGTTTCCTGAAGTTGAGTGTGGCCGCCTTCCTGCTTGAAACAGTAGCTCCTGAGTGTGGCCACCTGGTGGCTTCCTGCCCACACCAGTCCTCCCCTCAGCCTCACCTGCCACCTGCTCCAAGTACACAATAGAAAACAAGGAAGCAGAATTTCCACCCTCAAGGCTTATGGGAAACTAATGAAATCTGGTTGTCAGAGGTGTAATTTTACCAGGGAGCACTTGTGGATGCTTTCCTTCAGAATAGGAAGGGGCACCCATTCCCAGACATATTCCAGCCCTGAGCTTACAGCACTCACACCATGCTAAAAATCATTGTACACACACACACACACCCTTGTACATATTTCATGTTGAGTTTCTGAAAGGATTCTTTTTTTTTTTTTCGTTTATGAAATACAGTGAACAGAACTGAGGTGAAAAAGGGGGCACTGGTCCATAGCAGAAGAGTGGACAGAATTTTATCTGAGGCCAGCAAGTGAGCGGATCCTATCGGAAGTGCAAAGTGAATTCAGGGAGGACACATGAGCCCGACTGACAGCTGATCTAGCCTGCTAGGTGGGGAGAAGCTGTTGAGGAGGCCTCTGCCAGAAGGAAGCCCCAGCTGAAGCTGGAAAGCCAACAGGAGGATGCTGGGCCAGTCGTTTAGGTGGGAAGGGCACTCAGACCCAAAGGTTCAGAAATGAGGACTGTGTGCTGTGTTCAGGGAACCTCACAGCCCCGAGTCTTGCTGCAGATGGGAGAGTTATGAGGACGTGGTGTGGGGTGGACGGCCCTGAGCTGGCTTCAGCTCTCTGATAGGCCTTGTTTAGCCCAGAGAGTTTTTTAATTGCCAACTTTTAAAAATTGGGAGTCTTCACTTGAAAAATCTCAATTGTTCTTTTCACTTGCCTAGTTGGAATGCAACATGGGGCCTACATTCCCAGAGGGCAGTGGTCAGCGGGAACTGAGTGGCGGCTGCCGTCTAGGAGAAGCTCCCAGTTCACCACAGTCCCCACCGCTTATTACCTACCCCTGGCTGCAACTTGACTCATCCCTCACCTGCTGGCCCTTGAGGACCCTGACGGTGGAGGTAAAGCACAGCTGTTGAGGGGTGTTAAGAAAGGAAGTAAGTGATATGTGTTGTTTTGGAAAGATTACTATGGCACATGAAGTTTCAGGGATACGGGGCACACGAGCTGAGTCAGAGAGCTATGCAGAGGTCCTTGTCAGAGGAGGTGAGGCCTGGCCTGATGCTGTGGCAGCAGGTGTCAAGAGGAAGGAACTGATTTTAAAATGATCTCAAGACTTCAGGGAAATGCAACTTGAAATCACAATGAACGACCACTACATACCCACTGGGATGGCTGTAATAAAAAAGACAGACAATATCAAGTGGTGATGATGTGGAACCATTGAGAATTCTCATACACTGTTGGTGGGAAAGAAAAATGGTATATCCATTTTGGAAAACAGTGTAGCAGTTTCTGGTAACGTTAAGCAGACACCAATTCTACCACCTAGCTATCCCATTCCTGGTGTGTATCTGAGAGAAAAATGTCCGTGCAGAGTTGTACATGAATGTTCATAGCAGCTTTATATAAAACAGTCAAAAACTAGAAATGGCCTGTGCATCCATCATCCAGTGAGTGGATGAACTGTGGTACAGCCATCCAGTGGACTGTTACCTAGCAAGAGGAAACACTGGCATGCTGACGAGTACAAATGGATAAGCAACAAAAACATCATGCTAAGTGAAAGCGGCGAAACCTAACACCGCATCATCTGTGAGTCCATTTATTTCTATGAGACTCTGGAACAGCAAAACCAGATCCGTGGTTGCCAAAGGTCACGTGAGGGGAGGGGAATGACTCCTAGGGCCACATGGGAACTCTGGGATGATGGGTATACTCTATATTTTAATTATGATGGTGATGATACTTATTTGTCAAAACTCAGAATTGTACACCAAAAAAGGTGACTTTCTTTACTAAAACGATGTAAAGAAAAAAATCTGTTTCAGAGGTGGAATTGTCTAGTGTTTGAGGTAGGGCGAAGGAGGAGGGTGAGTCAGAAGGGCACCGTGGCCCATGGCTTCATCTCTGGAGTGGGAGCTCAGCTCTTTGCCTGCTCGCCCTCCTGCCCAGGTGAAGGTCTTTTAGAGCCTGCATCCCAGCTGCCCACCCTCCACCCCCTTTCTCCTCACCTTCAGCTCTGTGGTCCTGGCTGTGCATCCTTTGGGATGAAGGCCACTGGCTCTTTCCTCCTCCTGACACCTCACTGTCCCTCCCCTGCCCTTGACTTGGCTCTGTGGTTGCACAGTGTCAGATACTGCCCACCTCCCCACTCAAATGGGCCTGCGCCAGGGAGAAGAGAGTGCAGGAGGGAGGAGAGCCCTGTCTTCACTCTGGGAGGGGGAGTGCCAGGGGCACTGGGGCTGGCCCAGGGGCCACAGTGCTGACAGGTGTCCATGGCTCCAGTCTCATCATCACCCTTAACTGGCCTGGGTTCCAAAGGGGCTCTTCACTTAGTTGCACTCTTCTGGGCAAGGCATTAACTTCTCCCAGCCTCAGCTTTGTGGGGAGGGTGTGGGTGGTGGTCTCAGCCTGCTGGGGATGCTGCAAGGAGTCCAGGGGCAGAGGCACAGATTGTGCATGCATTGGGGTGTCTTCCTTCTGGCCTTCCCCAGCCCCCTCCCCCACAAGTCATGACTGTTTAAGTTGTGTTATAGAAGGCCATGCTGCACTTAACCAATGGGGATAATTATTGAGAGGTTCGTGGCACGGGTTGGAGTGGGGTGGGGTGGGGCAGGGGTGGAGCTGGACTCAGGACCGCAGGCTGGAGGACCGGGCTGGGGCCCTGGGGTAGCTGTCTGTCACGTCCTGCTCTTCGACGTGTTGGCTTCCTTTGCCCTGTGTCTTCAGGTCTTCCACTATCCATGGGGGTTGGGCCCACTGTCCCAAGTTCAGTTTGAAAACCCCCAGAGGAGGGCTCTTGTGGCTCCCCTGGGTGAACTTTAGCTCCTGGACCTGGCAATCAGGCTCCAGTGTGGACAGGGCGAGAGGAAGGGCAGAAACAGTGGGGAGGCAGAAGCCTGGGGGTTATTCTCTGGTCATGAGAAGGAGGGTGTCAGGGCAGTCGATAAGAACCTGGACATTGCAGCAGCTTTCTTTTCAGGTGGCTGCAAAGGTGGTGGACATTCAGACTGAACATGCCCACCAAAAGCAGCCCACCACCCTTTCCCCCTATTTATAGGTAAAATAAGTAGAGGGTCCGTTTGGAGAAACTGGCAAAAAGAAGCTGCTACGACACTGCAAGAACATTGGACTGGGTTTCAAGACGCCCTAGGAGGCCATTGAGGGCACCTGCATGGACAGGGAGTGCCTATGAGACTGGCATG